TCAGGCAACTTCATTCAGCTACTGCCAATCTTGTTAAATCCATTCCAAAGAATGGCATCCTGATGGTGTGATGGCCCGATCACCATCAATCCTCTACATGCTTGAGAACAAAAAATACATGGTTTGGAACATCAAATGGACTTCACCTGGCTACTGAATTCCACCGCACTAGCCATCACCACTGACAGGCTTAACTGCAATAGTTATGCTAACACTTAAATTTTCCTAATCTGTAGGCTTAAATTATCGACGAACGCATCCTGTGTCTCGCAGAAATAATGAAGCTGAAAGGAGTCTAGAACTAACACACTACTCAGAAGTTTGCTGTCATTTCCTTGACATAATATCATGGTTTTCATGTTTCTTGCGACTAATCAGCTAGGTGCAGTCCTTGTCTTTTCCTCAAACATAATGAAGTCTGGAACCCAGACTGGGCGACACTTGCCAAACACTCTCCTGAACGAGACAAATCATTGGATTNAAACTGAACTGAACTGAACTGAACTCAACGCAACAGAACTGAAATGAATTGAACGGAACTGAACTGAATTGAACTGAACTGAGCTAGACTGAACTGAATTGAACTAAACTGAACTGAACTGAACTGAACTCAACGCAACAGAACTGAAATGAATTGAACGGAACTGAACTGAATTGAACTGAACTGAGCTAGACTGAACTGAATTGAACTAAACTGAACTGAACTGAACTGAACTCAACGCAACAGAACTGAAATGAATTGAACGGAACTGAACTGAATTGAACTGAACTGAGCTAGACTGAACTGAATTGAACTAAACTGAACTGAACTGAACTGAACTCAACGCAACAGAACTGAAATGAATTGAACGGAACTGAACTGAATTGAACTGAACTGAGCTAGACTGAACTGAATTGAACTAAACTGAACTGAACTGAACTGAACTCAACGCAACAGAACTGAAATGAATTGAACGGAACTGAACTGAATTGAACTGAACTGAGCTAGACTGAACTGAATTGAACTAAACTGAACTGAACTGAACTGAACTCAGGCAACTTCATTCAGCTACTGCCAATCTTGTTAAATCCATTCCAAAGAATGGCATCCTGATGGTGTGATGGCCCGATCACCATCAATCCTCTACATGCTTGAGAACAAAAAAATAAATGGTTTGGAACATCAAATGGACTTCACCTGGCTACTGAATTCCACCGCACTAGCCATCACCACTGACAGGCTTAACTGCAATAGTTATGCTAACACTTAAATTTTCCTAATCTGTAGGCTTAAATTATCGACGAACGCATCCTGTGTCTCGCAGAAATAATGAAGCTGAAAGGAGTCTAGAACTAACACACTACTCAGAAGTTTGCTGTCATTTCCTTGACATAATATCATGGTTTTCATGTTTCTTGCGACTAATCAGCTAGGTGCAGTCCTTGTCTTTTCCTCAAACATAATGAAGTCTGGAACCCAGACTGGGCGACACTTGCCAAACACTCTCCTGAACGAGACAAATCATTGGATTTCGTTGGTTCAACCGGTTAAAATCAGATCACTCTGTGGATGTATAATCTGTTTTTTTATGGTAAAACTCCCTCAAAAAAGACAACTGACCGTAACGGTCAAAGGTATACACGTCACAAGAATTAGACCTGTTTTCTTGGGATGAAGTGTACTTTCTACAAAAGCCCCTTTGTCCATTTATAATTTACTGTATATGTATCCACTTGGCATTGGTGTTTGCTGCAAACGAACACCAAAATTTCACCGAGGTTGTATGGGATACACAATGGTTTTATCAACACTTATGCAAATATTTCATCAAAAGAATCGATAACAATCATTGATCCCTCAAACAACTGACCGTAACGGTCAAAGGTATACACGTCACAAGCATTAGACCTGTTTTCTTGGGATGAAGTGTACTTTCTACAAAAGCCCCTTTGTCCATTTATAATTTACTGTATATGTATCCACTTGGCATTGGTGTTTGCTGCAAACGAACACCAAAATTTCACCGAGGTTGTATGGGATACACAATGGTTTTATCAACACTTATGCAAATATTTCATCAAAAGAATCGATAACAATCATTGATGGCTGAATGATGTGTGATCCTTGGCTAAACGGTTTTTGAGTAGAGCCAGAAACTAATTCCTTACAAGGATCACAAAGAAGACAAGAATGAACTAAATTTGGAAATTTATTTTGTTGTACTAGCAAATGCAATATTTCAATTTCTACTCCCTCTATTCTGTTTCTATTACTCGGGATCTGTTGGACACCCAGACACAAATTTACGGTAGTTACTTCCCATGTTTAAAGAAAGAATATCGTGAAACTGAGCCGAGTAGCAAGCTTCCACGTACAACACCAATACGTTCAAAAGATTTTGCAAACACTTGTACGCGAGGGTATCGTTCAAATCCATGGCTTCGAGCTGTTGAAAGTCAAGAAAACAATTTTCGTGAGATCGATATTTCTCAGTGGTTAAAGGCATGTCCATTGTAGTGTTGATCATCTATGTTGTTGACAGGAATGTGTACCTCCCTTGAAGTGAGCCCGCAAATAATAATATTGGAGTGAATAAGCATGCAAAATCTGATTAACGAATTGCCTGCTTGATTTTTAGATCACTTCAACTGGCAATTGCACCACAGATTTCAACCATGTGTCCACTTATAAGTTCATGGAGAGAGAGCGTCTTAGCCCTAATCGCGTTCCACGAAATTTACGGAGATTTCCATTGAACTGAACACTTCCAAGTATCATCTCACTAGGAACACACTGCACTCAGTTCAGAAGGCACAATCATTCACACAGCGAATTGATTTTTCATTCGAGAAGTTGTCACTCGATCAGTCAGTCACCAGTGATGTGGATCCCTTGATTGAAGAATGGGTGGCGTTATATCCTGATTTAGTGCGGATAAATCAGGCCGTTGGTTGGCTGCTCGTGGCCGAACGGTTATGCGCTGCAACTACCAAACGCATCACTGATGATTCCCAATAAGGATGGAACAGTTGTACATTGCTTCCCGGCTTTTGATATTTTTCTCTTTTAAAATGAATTACCGATATCAATGCGCCAACATATGTTTACTTAAGCATTTTCGATCCTTTCAGAATTTAGATTGCGATTAAAAACATTGTCTGCTGTAACCGTGGTTACCAAAATCAACTAAACTCATATCATCTTCTTCTTCTGGGAAGGTGAGAAGGGATTGCAAACCATTACCGGAGTAAAAGATGAGCACATTGTCATCAGGACCGCTGTAAGTGAGAAGATAGGTTAAGGTGGTCTTGAAGAAGAGTTCGCTTGATATAACCGCACAAGGAGAATAATTCATTGAGCACTTAACACGAATGATTCAGCAGTGAGCGAACGCCCAGGTCAGTAGCTACCAGATATAATCAGTAGCGACGTTGACTGCTGCTATTTGCGTTGCCACAAGAATATGGGGATGAAAAATCGATTCTCTGGAAGTCTATTGGTTAAATATTTTAGGATATAGTAGCTCCTATGTTTTTCAAGGCGTGAAGGCGGTTGGAAGCAGTTTTCCACTTTAGCTAGTTTTATCATCATGCGTTTGGTACAGTCACACCGTTCTTTTGGGAACACGGCCTTGATAGCATGACTACATCTGTTTAATTAAATATCTACACAATATAAACACTACTGAGGAAAATATAACGAAGGTGAGGCGATCCAATATTTGAACACGAATGTCCAATAAGCCATATGGTTTTATCGAAAACTGATCTGGAACTTTTCCACTTGGTGTTCGTTGATCAAGATAGTGTTCATCTGTTCTTTGTCCTTGAGGATGTTTCAACAACAACCGAAGTGACATCATGAGCGAATTATAAGGTCGGAATTTCCTCCATAAACGCCTGATATTATGCGGCTGTGATTGAGCAAACATTTCTCCGGCACAACATTTGAGCTGTGCAGGGAAGTGGGTTGCATCCCCTGAGTGCGATTGATCCTTTGAGTAGATTCCGACAGCGGACCATTTATACACGGAATGATTGACCGGTTATCGAAATCCGTTGTGCCATTGTCTCTCTCCCCATATTTCAATCGGTTTCAATGGACTTCTGATGAAAGTAGTTACTACCGATTTGTTCGTTCTGAATGCCTGTTGTGCTGTAACCTGAATTTCGGGGTTTGTATTCGTGACTGCTCTTCCGGGTAGTAAAGTTTGTTTATTGTGTGTGCGCGTTTATCACATTTGATCACCTATTCTATAAAAATCTCTCTTTCCTCCTCTATCCAAACAAATCCACGGGCAATCGGAAGCATTATATTTAGTCAGCTTAGCATTAGAAAAGCTTTTATCAATTTTGCTGTTTAATTTCTTATTAGATCTGTTGATGAACCTGGTTATAGCAGAAAAGCAGACCAGATGGTGCGGTGCGAAAGCACGTAGAGCTCATCTGGGATATACCTTTGTACAAAGTGTGCCAAATTTAATGTGCAGACGATTAGACTCTCAATATGTCGTGTCGTGTAAATATACCCTTCAAATATGCCTACCGAAATATTCTGTCTGAAAATGTAGTTTCCCAGAAAACTAGCGTGCGGCAACAGATTATACTGTCTGTGTGCAACTGCGAACGAACAGATCGGTTTGCGGCAGCTGGGCATACGTACAGAAATATCCATCCTAGGTCCACGTACATCGGTTTATCAGAAAACACGCACAAAGAGCGAGTGATTACGGATTGCATCGCAGTTCCAAATCCGAACTGTGCATAACCGAACGGATTGAGAGACATATTGCTTGCGAGTGAATAAACTCGGTCATGGGCTGCCTGAGTGTTTTCTACGACCTTATATCTAGTGTTCGTTCACGTGGATTGGCCATTCTATAATATAGCAAAACTGATCATTCTGTTCTGCTGTTTGTATTGTGTTTTGATCCGCAGTGTCATTTTAATTGCCCCTTGTGGTACACGGTGAACTGATGCAGGACTTGACTTGATTGCTGCGCTGTGGAACACGGACTTACTTCTCCACGGTAGTCAATTACCACACCCTTGTATACATCCTCGTGCTGGTATTCATGGAACACTTTGCCTTTAAACGGATTTCTGGAATAGAAGAATGAAAATGTAGCAGTGAATCCTCTGCCTATCGACCACATCTCTCTGGGCTTGGGAAACCTGGCAGTGTCGCAGACCTCGTGAAAC